GAAAAACAAGGAGCTTCAGTTCATTTTTATGGATGCTGAAGATTTTACACCTGTGCATTTGTCATGTGAGTTTCTTTCTTTCCTTTTTTTTCCCCCCCTATAGTTTGGACATCAATGGCATTATTTTCTCCACAGTTAAAGAAACGGGAGAGGAGCTGAGCTTCTAAAGTTCAAGCTTGGGGAGAGGGTTTTTTCTCCCCTTGGAGACATTTCCCTTGGCTGGTGGAATCTAATTCCCCCATCCCATATTTAGTGCAGATTGTGTAATTCTGGCAGCAGAGCAGCCCGGAGCCTTCCAGGAGTGGGGTTGGTTTTTTGGGATTTTGGCATTTCTGGTTCCGTCTGCCCCTCTAACCCAGGGGGTGAATTCAAATTTTGAATTCCATGCTTTAGTCAGGAATGATGCAAATCCATCCAGGGAACGGCACGAAGCTGACTGGGAGGTTTAGGTTGGATTTCAGGGAAAATTCCACCTCCAGAGGGTGCAGGGCACTGCCCAGGCTCCCCAGGGAACGCTGACATCCCCAGGGCTGCAGAGCTGCAGGAATTTTGGGAGAGCTCCCAGGGATGCACACGGAGGGACTTGGAGATGTTCTGAGCGAGGACTTGGGTGCTCCCAGCTCAGAATATTCCACATTTCTGGGATCCAGTAACTCCTGAGGGCCTGACCCCATCAAATCCCAGCTGAGGAATGACCTGTGGGACAAAGTGTTCCATTTTTGTGGGGTGAAACCCCAAATCAACATCAAATCCCAGCTGAGGAATGATTTATGGGATAAAATATTTCATTTTTGTGGGGTGGAGCCCCAAATCCCAGCTGAGGGGTGACCTGTGGGACAAAGTGTTCCATTTTTGTGGGGTGAAATCCCAAATCCAGCTGAGGAGTGACTTGTAGGACAAAGTGTTCCATTTTTGTGGGGTGAAACCCCAAATCAACATCAAACCCCAGCTGAGGAATAACTTCTTGAGGAATTCATTGAGAAATTAATTTGATTTGGACAAAGTGTTCCATTTTTATGGGGTGAAACCCCAAATCAACATCAAATCCCAGCTGAGGAGTGACTTATGGGATAAAATATTTCATTTTTGTGGGTTGAAGCCCCAAATCAATATCAAACCCCAGCTGAAGAATAACTTCTTGAGGAATTCATTGAGAAATGAATTTGATTTGGACAAGATGCTCCATTTTTGTGGGGTGGAGCCCCAAATCCCAGCTGAGGAGTGACTTGTGCCACAAAGTTCCATTTTTGTGGGGTGAAACCCCAAATCCCAGCTGAGGAATGAATTATGGGATAAAATACTTCATTTTTGTGGGGTGGAGCCCCAAATCCCAGCTGAGGAGTGACTTGTTGAGGAATTCATTGAGAAATGAATTAGATTTGGACAAAGTGTTCCATTTTTATGGGGTGAAACCCCAAATCAACATCAAACCCCAGCTGAGGAGTGACTTATGGGATAAAATATTTCATTTTTATGGAGTGGAGCCCCAAACCAGCCCCTGCAGTGCAGCTGCTGCATTGCTGCCTGGCAGTGCAGCTGCATTGCTGCTGGGCCCAGCACCCCTGCATGGCCAGAGCTGCCCCGTGGGCGTTCCCTGCTCCCCAAAAAACCCCCAGGAAAACCCAAATTTGTGCCTCCCCACCCAGCTCCTTTAGGGGTAGCAGCTTCCAAAATTCAGAATGATTTCGGATTTTTTTCCATATTTAATTCCTAGTTTCTTTTCTCATTGTTTTTAAGTTATGCATGACATAGGAAATTTTTTTTTTTTTTTGGTTATTTGGGCTCATCCTTTCTTTTTAAGGAGTGGAATGTGTAAATAGCTGGAATGCAGATTTTTTTCAGGAGATTCTTTAAAGTCAGAGAAAGGGGGAGGGAAGGAAGTGATTCTCTTGTGTCCCAAAGTCCATGTCAGAGAGAGTAAATATTTCCTCTGGTGTGAAAAATATTTTTATAACTGGTTGAAAGTGCAGGTATTGAGTTTATCAGGAAAAAAGAGAGTTAAGGAATACTAAAATTAGCAGAAACTTGTCTGAATTCTTTTCATGTCCAAAAAAACTGTTGATTGCAAATAGTTGCTTCAAGCATTGACAAGGGCCACCTTTTGCCTATGAAGTCGTCTCAAAAAAAAAAATAAATCTTGCATTGATTTAAAAAAAAAAAAAAAAAAAAAAAACAGGAAAAAATTAAAAAAAAAAAATCAAGAAAAAAAAATCTTTAATCCAAGTAGCATTAGGTATTGCTGTCTGATCAGTCGTATGGTTATTTGAAAGGTTCACATGATGTGGCATCAAAAATTGTTTTTAGTGTTTTTACAGCATCCCTCTGCCACTAAATAGTTGACTTGAATTTTGGAAAAAAGGAAACTGTTGGTGTTTATATGTATATGTGTGTGTATATATGTATTTATAGATCCGTGTGTGTGAGTTCCAGGTGAGTTCAATAGTTTTTTCCCATGCATGTGTATTTCATACATATCTGGCTGATATATTCTATTTCACCATACACCGATTTTATAATTTATTAAATGTCAGTTAAAAAAAAAAAAAAGAGGAAAAAAAAAAAAAAGAAATAAAAGGATAGAAAATGGGAAAGACTTATTTTTGAAACGGTCTGATTTGGATGTGATTCAGCCTCTGCTAGCAATGTCTCTTCCCCAGTTTAGGAGGAGATTTTTCATGGATTTTTCTGGAATTGGGGCTGTGAGTGCCCTGGTTTGCCTGGAGCCTGCGTGTCCCAGCTCCCGGAACATCCAGCAGGAATTTGGGATTGCTCAGGGCTCCTTTTCCCACCTTTCCATGGAGGCTGGGAAGAGCAGTGGGATCGAAACCCCGTTAATCCCGTGGGAAATGGGATGTGGGGGTGTTGGTATCCTGGGATTTGGAACTTTGGGAGTGGCAGCTCAGCTTGGTGTTCCCATTCCCTGTGATCCCACTGGAGAAAGGCTCCTGTAAATCCCGTGGGAAATGGGATGTGGGGGTGTTGGTATCCTGGGATTTGGAACTTTGGGAATGGCAGCTCAGCTTGGTGTTCCCATTCCCTGTGATCCCAGTGGGGGGAGAGGTTCCTGTAAATCCC